TGGAGGCTTTTCTCAGAGGAAAAGATGTTTTTGCTCTTCTCCCGACTGGTTTCGGCAAGAGTTTGATCTATCAATTGGCTCCTCTTCGTCGTCGCTCTGTTAGTACGTCATATGCTTCGCTGATCTGATTGGTTTATTTGGCCCGTCTATCACCAACATAGGCCAATCAGCTAACCAGTATTTTCGCTCCTCTCCAAAATGACTTCAACGGAAGGTTTCCAGATGGATATGCGGAGCAAATCCATCTGTATCGGCGGGTTCTCGTTCATAAAGTTCCAAGCTAGTGAACCGAATGAATCCATGTATCACTCATTCTTTCGTTTTTTTTTTTTTTTCAAATTAAAACCTAAAATTAAAAAGGAAAAAATGCACTTCTTTTCTCACTATTTGTTTCCCAATAAAACGGACAATCCAGCTCATAATCTGTTTTTTCCTTTTTGTTTTGGAAGAAAATAGTGAGAAAACGAGTGAATTTTTGCATTTTTAATGTTTGGTTTTAATTTGAAAAGAAAAGAACGAATGATACACGGATTATGGATTCATATGCATTAGATAACATTTAATTTACCTTTTCAGAATAAAAAGCCTCGTTGGAGCCCTTTGCTTCCCTAAATTGCCACCAACACCAAAAATCTTGACCGATGTTAACCCTCATGTTACCTTTTTTTTATTTTTGGAATAGTAAACATTTATAAAACAATTATTTATATTTATATTTTAGTGAAATTAATACTTTTATTCTGCGAAGCTAGAAGTTTTGTTCATTCTTTTTTATAAAATGTTGTGGCTACGACCTTAAAAGATGAGGAGCTTTTATTAGTTTGACCTTTCAACCCTGGAGCTCGGTGCTCTAGATCTCACATGATCACTAAACCTAAACCTGAGCTTATGCTGGTGAAGAGTCTCAGTCATTCAGGTCATAGTCAATCCAAAAAAGTTTAAAAATAAACAATCCACTTGATTTTGTTTCCAATTTTGAAGACGTTTCGCTTTAAATCCAGGAAGCTTTTGCAATTCAAAATGTCAGAATCAGCGTTGAGTAGCATAAAGCCTCGAACTCTGTGCTATTTCTGACATTTTGAATTGAAAAAGTTTCCTGGACGGGAAGCAAAACGTCTTCAAACTTGGAAACAAAGTCCAGCGGATTGTTTTCTAAACCTGAGCGTCTCTCCTCCAGTGAGTGTAAAAGAATGTGTCGTGTTTCCAGATCTCAGAGACCAGAGAACGGGCCATGACCAAAGAACGCTCCACCAAATCCAAGATCCTGGAGCTGGAGACCCAGCTGAGCCGGACCGCCTCAGAGATCGACCAGCTGAGACGCCACAAAGAGGAGGTGACATCAGCGCCGCTCTTTTTGCTTCCTGCCTCCTCCTCCGTTACGTCTCTAAGCTGTTATTGATTCTCAGGCGGAGAGGCGGTACCAGAGCCGGCTGCAGGACCTGAAGGACCGCCTGGAGCAGTCCGACAGCACTAACCGAAGCCTCCAGAACTACGTCCAGTTTCTCAAAGCGTCCTACACCGACGCTTTTAGTGATGTGGCCCTCGCCGGCTCCCTGCGGGCCCCCTCTCCCCTCTGACCGCCTCAAAAGAAGACCTGATCGGTTCAGCTCCGGCAGTCTGCATCTTCTCATCTTAGCAGGATGCGGTCACCATGGCAACAGATGTTGGGAACCAAATGTATTTGTGCTCAGTCATTATCACCAGTATGTATAGAACATTTTGCTTCCAGGCCTTCCAGTTATCCAACGGACTGGTTCCACTGGTGGTCATGGTTGATCCTGACAGTCAGCGTCTGGATGTTGTTTCATTAATTCGGGTCAGTGGCTGTAATTGATCGTCTGCTGCCAGTTTTACAGGAAATGAGTCGGAATCAGAGGATCTGGGTCGGCTGATTTAGACGGCGACCAGAAGACTTGGATGTTTAGAAGCTCCGTCCCTCTAAATGATTCCCTGGAATCAAACCTAATGGTCTAAATTTAAGACAGATTTTAAAGATTCCTCTTCCTTATTTTATTGCTTGACACTAAATTGAGGGTTTTTATGTAAGCAGCTGCTCTCATGTGACTGAGAACAAAAGAAGCCTCAGGGTTTTTCATGCAGCAGCTTCCAACGTACAGGTTTTTGTACCGTTTATAAAATGTTTTATACTGCTGAAGAACTTTTTACATCTTGTTCTGTGTTATGTCTGTCTATGATTAAATGCTTCATTGCATTAAGATCCAGGGAGTCTATCAATACTGTCCTTGAGGTTCCAGTCAATCCTGTGTTTTGCATTAACAAAACCATCAAGAATACTTTATATTTATTCTTTGACTTTCATAAAACATCTTGTTTTGGTTTTACTAAAGGTTAAATAAGGATTTTCTACATTCCTGCAGAAGTGGGATGTTGGAATTAGCTCATGATCAGATGATCTGTCTGCTGATGAGGGCGGGTCTGGAGGATGTCCCCAATGGGATATACAAGCAGGAAAACAGTTTGTAATGGCGATACAGAAAAAAGAATCTTGTGTCTTTTATTGGACCAAGGATATAAACATAATGATCGCAGAACTGAAGTGTGAATCGTTAAGTAGACAAACATGCTAGAACAGAGAGGACTATACATAACATAGTACAAATGTGCATGATTTATTGATTGATTTATTGATCTCACAGAGGAGAAATGTACTGGTTCCATCAGCTCAAATAGTCAAAGAAGAAGAAGAAGATGCCAAAGAAAGAAAAAGATGCATTGGGCAAATACAGTACATATAGTGCATCCACATACGACAGCTTTTTTTTTATTTTTATAGCAGGATTATTATACAGGGTTAAAAGTAAAAAGGGTTTAATAAAAATAAAAAATAAAAAAATAATATATATATATATATATATATATATATATATATATATATATGCACTTAGGAAAATGGATGGATGGATGTTAGAACACTTTAGAAATAGAAACCTAAGGAGTTTAATCAGGTGTTTAACTGATCTATTCAAAGTAGCATGATTTTTAGGACTTTATCTGGTGATAAAAGTCAAATCCTAAACATGTTTTTAACAAAACTTTGTGCCTTGCATGGATTGGTGTCTGAAGCCTTTATATGATTGTAAGGAATGTGGTATATAGAAAAGGCGCAGCTCTGCAGCATGTTTTATCCCATTTCTCATCAATCAAAATAAATATAAGTAAATAATACCAACTTAATGAGAATGAATTCATAATCTTTATAAATCACAATGGCAAATTAGTTATTTTTAGGAGTGTTATCGAGAAAAAAACACTCCTAAAAGTCGATGCTTTGCCCTATATCATAAAGATAGATAGATTAGATAGATTTTCCATTGTTAAACAAATAATCTAATTCTTAAATTAGATATAGTTATTGTTAGATTCCTATTGGCTGACTGCTATATTTACCTATAACTTAGATGTATGGCAGCTTTATTCTGCTAGGAAATAAAGGAATGGTGTTCCATTACACCATAGAATCAAAGGCGAATTGCAAATCATGCATTTTCTTTCGGATATTTTATTTTACAGTACCATGGGCTTGTTTTTATGGAAGAGAATTAGGGCCAATAAAAAAAATAAAAAAGTGAACTTATTTTCAAATTTTATTTTAGTATAATATGGGAAAAACTCAAAATACTGAGATTAAAGTCAGAATTCCTAGATTAATCTCAGAATTCTGACTTTTTTTCCCATATTATACTGAAACGAAATTTAAAAATCAGTAACTTTCTTTTATTTTTTTACGGTGACCCTAATCCTCTTCTGTATGTTTTGGCAAATGAACCCTGAAAAAGCCTAAAAGCCTCTGCCTCCATTCGGCTTTTTCCGTCATGCTTCGACACTTTTCGTACAGCTGCATGAATGACGTCACTGCAAAGAAAGCCTCCTCCTCCTCCTCCACAGAGCCCCGCCCTTCACACGAACCGTCAGGGTTGACTCTTCAGGATAGCCTCCGCTCCGTTAGCTTTCTGGGAAAAACTTCGCGGTAAGGAAAAATATTTCCATTTTACTTTTATGATAATCTAACGATGCATATTAAACCAGCTTAACACATGGTTATTGTTTCATTTCTAAACTATGTGTTCGGTTTTTTTCGGCCGTGATCGACTAGCTAGCAGCAGGAGCTGCTAACAGCTTCGGTAGAAATAAAATCCTGATACCCGGTTTGTTTATGTCTGTTCATTGAATTTTTTTTATGTGCAGAACATAATAGCGGTCGCATGGTTTCATTGTCGTGTTTGGGGCTTTATTGGGGATTTGAGGCTGTGGATCTGCTGCAGATTATTGGACCGATACAGGCTCCATACTGTTGGATCATTCTGTGTTCTAGAAGGAGCCGCCCAGTCCGGTCAAAGTCTGACCAAGCTTCATTAAAACCACTTAACAGCCAAACACAATGCAGGAGATACCGACTGTTTCTAAGGTGGCTGTGAATACAATGACCCGGATGGCCGTCAGAGCACAGAGCATCAGAACTGATCCATCAGACGGCAGCTGCATTCCTCGCCTACCAACCAGTCAGCTGGAATGCGACGGAGTATTAGGGCCTGGATAGAGATTTTTCAGTTTTTTTTATTTTTTACAGAGAATAAAGACGTCACATTACGAGAATAATGTCGTGAAATTACGACAATAAAGTCGTAAAATTACGAGAATAATGTTGTAAAAATTACGAGAATAATGTCGTAAAATTATGACAATAAAGTCGTAAAATTACGAGAATAATGTCGTAAAAATTACGAGAATAATGTCGTAAAATTACGAGAATAATGTCGTAAAATTATGACAATAAAGTCGTAAAATTACGAAAATAATGTCGTAAAAATTACGAGAATAATGTAAAAATTACGACAATAAAGTCGTAAAATTACGAGAACAATGTCGTGAAATTAGGACAATAAAGTCGTAAAATTACGAGAATAATGTCGTAAAAATTACGAGAATAATGTCGTANGTCGTAAAAATTACGAGAATAATGTCGTAAAATTACGACAATAAAGTTGTAAAAATTACGAGAATAATGTCGTAAAATTACAACAATAAAGTCGTAAAATTACGAGAATAATGTCGTAAAATTACAACAATAAAGTCATAAAATTACGAGAATGAAGTCATCATACAACAACCCGTTTCAGATAGAAAGCTTGGAGCTCCGCCCAGCAGATGACGGCCGACCAGCTCCACCAATCAGCAACCTGAGTGCACTTTGACATCCTGTCCAGTTTGATGCTCCTGCTAAAAGATTTCCTAATTTGTGAAACTGATGCCAAAGTAGAACTTCACATGATGCTCGACATTCCTCATTTTAGGGAAGGTAGTGCTTCTTGTAAGAGTCGTCCTAAAGTACAACTTGTTTCTCGTAAGTTTAGGAATTTATTCTCGTAATGTCACAACATTATCCTCATAATGTTACAACTTTATTCGCGTGATTTTACGACTTTGATTAGTCAAATCAACCAAAACTTTTGCGACCCCCGTGCAGTACCCCCGTGGACCCCCAAGGGGTCGCGGACCACCTGTTGAAGACCTCCGCTTTAAAGCATTTATAAACTCGAAGCTATTTATTTGTAGTGTTGTACCTCTTTGGTTGGAAACTAATACGATGGACTTAAGAGATCTTTAAATAAATGATAAAAAGGAATAGTTTGGGTGTCTAGTTACGACTTTAATCTTGTAATGTTACGACTTTATTCTCGCAATGTTACGACTTTATTCTCGCAATGTTACAACTTAATTCTTGTAATGTTACGACTTAAACCCTGCGAAAAAGAAGAAAAATAAATCTCTAGCCTGGCCTTAATACTCCGTCGAACTGAAAAACCAGCCTGCAGGTCAGAGAAGAAACCAATCTGTCCTGCGTGAAACAAGCCTCTATTTGAACGACACGGGTTAAAGTTTAGTTATATAAAACCTCTGAGCAGCTTTATTTAGAAAAGTTAGAAGAAGCTGATTAAATTAAATATCTCTGCAGCTGTAATGGAGAAACATTTAGGGGTCGCTGCGGCTGATTAACCAATAAAGATGCTATTCGATTCAGGGTTAGTGTTTGAAACATTTTCAGCTATTTAAAGGTCTCCTTACGTCACTGAGGGTTATTAGACTCCATGAAATTAGATTAAATTACTAAATTGAAACAGATAATCAGAAAGCGCCTTTATGCTACCAAGATCATTTATATGGGTTAAACATAGAAAACTGTTTTGTTTTAAAACTTAAAGCTGATTTGTGTTCCTGGGTATACAGTTAACCCCCCGACTAAAAAGTGTAAAACAGCTGAAGTTAAACTGGTACGTGTATTTCCACTGGACACCCAAACAATAATTTTTGTATTCATTTAAAAATCTCTACATCCATCTTATTAGTTTCCAACCAAAGAGGCATTGAAACTTGCTTTTATGCATCATGCATACTTTAAAACATTTATCCTCAAATAAATATTGATTATTTACACATAAAAAAAATAATATTTGAGTGTTATATTTGGGGTATTTTTATTTTATTTTTCCCAGCTAGCATCTGGGATGTCCGATGTGTTTCTGATGTCTTGGCAGTCTTGACATCTTCCTTTTAAAGCTCATAATGGGAAGCAGAAAATAGCATTGTAGTCTAGAGGCTCCAGCTGATGCTGAATGATTATACATTGTGGCGCCACGATGGCCGGCTCCTCTCAGGGGACCGAGATAAACTAATATGTCAAAGTATTAAGAAAGGGACACAGGAACCAATGACGTAGTGGTTTTATAGCACTGACTAAGGTCAATTAAAAAGTCTGAGATGAGAGAATATTAAATCTGGAGTTATCCATGACTGGATTTGGACCTTAAAGCAGGAAATTGTCGGTTCTGACTCTTAATAGTAGATGAAGTGTCAGCCTAATGCGGAAACATGGGAAGTGGGACGGCGGAGATGTTCTGGGGTTAAATCATATTTCCCCTCATTATGCTGCATTTAATTTTATTGTCTTATTCTCCACTTTAATATAAAAATGTAACCTGGTGTCAGAATCAATGATGATTAGACAGTTATTTTTTTTTTTTGTACAGTTTTTCAGGTCCTATCTGAAGCGTTTTTAGTTGTTTTTTTTAACCAGACAGCCTGTGTTGATCCTTAAATTGGAGCAGTAACAGCATTAATGTCATTACATCATGACGATGGGATCAGAAGTCCCCTGATAGAGGGTGGAGTCATGCGGTTCCTCTGTCACTAACAGCTGGATGGGATGTAGCTCCCAGCCTGATGGGTTTTATTTCTGTTCTGCTGTCTGAGCCCGGTGTCTGACGCATTCAACTGATTTCATTTCATATAAATGTCTCTGTTGGTTTGTGATCTTAACTGCTTTTCCATTAATCCTACCCCTCCCAGCCTGCAGCATGTCAACATTCACTAAACCCAAACTGAAGGTAAACGCTGCTCCTCGCTGTCTGCTCTGTGTGCGTTTGGCTTGGTCTGGACAGAGAGAAATATTCAGCACTTTGAGGGAAGCAGGGAGGAATGTTCTGGAGGGAAGCGGCAGAGTTTTGCTGAGTAAATGAGGGATCAGGGAGGGGTAGCGTCTACGCAGCAGATCCAGACGCAGGGGCTGGGCTTCGGTTCAGCCCAGTCACTGCAGGTGCAATGCGTCTGACGGAGCTGCAGAGTAGACTCTGCCTTTTAGCTGTGGGACGCTTTTCAGACATCACTGTGGACCATGGCGGAGCTTTAGGAGAGGTCCTGTGATCCATCAGGATAGACGAGGAGCCGGAGATTCAGACGGAACATCTGTGTGTGTGTATGCTTTGTTTTTCCATCTGCTCTGTGGACTCGGTTTTCGTTTTGCTTGTTTTTTATGCGTTTTTCTGGTTCACCCCAATTCTTAATCTAATGTCAGTAGATTCAGTGCATGTTTGATGTGAGATTCTCTGCATGTGAAATTAGTGCTCTGATCCAGCATTCACATCTGCACCCAACTGTCTTCTTTGTTTGGATCCATCCACACATCTGCCATGTCATCCCTAAAACCCGTTTGTTATTTTGGTTCTCTTTTTTTTAGGAATTGGTTCAGGCTAGTCTGATTGGTTCTCTACTATAGATCCTAAGATATGACAGAGGTAGAAACTTAAGTCCAGTTGAGGTATTATGATTTAAGGCAGGACATACAGCTGTGATGAAAGGAAGAGCTGTGGAGCTGAACCAAAACAAACATGGCAGCCCAGGAGGTCTTAATTCCAGGAGGTCAGATTCAACGATTTAATCTTTGAAACGCCAACAGCAAAGTGTTTGTTGTTGTGTTTTCTCATGGTTTGTGCTTCTGTTTCATTTTTTAGTATGATTGGCTTAAACCAAACTTTAATAGCCGGTGCTAGGTGTGACCTCACCCAAACGGATCAATATCCCTTCATCCTCAGAACAGATTCAGTTGGTAAATCCCAGATGAATAATGCATAACAATAAACCTGAGGGCTGCATGTTACCAGTTTAGTTTCACATTTTAGGATTTTACTGTTGAGTTGACAATTAAAACTAAGCTCAACACAGTTGACACCCTTAGCATCACTAAGCTAACATTAAAGGTAATGGCTACGAGTTTAACTCCTTCCAGCCAGTAAGTGGTGCACTCTTTCTTACTCGCTTTTGTTCAGGACCGTTTGCCAGCTTGGTCTGCTAATGCTAATGTTTGATTAGCAATAGTAAATATTCCACTTAGCTGTCCAGAAAAAAAGAGGTAACCTTTGCATGGCTACTTAGATCCTTTGCTTACTTAAGTCGGAGCCAGAAGCCTTACAATGTTCATCCTCATTTTGCTTTAATTTTTTTTTATTTGGCTTAAATCTGCAAACTTTAACTCCCAGAAGAATCATTTTTCTAAGCTTTATAGTGTAGGTACCAGATCTGGTCGGTTCTTGCGCTTGCCAGTGACGTTACGCTACATGATTGGCTGAACGTTGCCACATGGTGTAAAACATTGTGGTTGCCCAGACAACGA